GCCCCCTTCCCTTGGAGGTGCGCGCCCCAGCCCCCTCCCACTTGCACGGCGCGGCCGCGGGAGACATTGCTGCACAGCGCCCCGCACGCGCCACCGTCTCGGCGCGGGCACCGCTCCCTCCCGCACGCACTTCGGCCCCCTCCCTCCCTCCGTTATTTTTCTTTCAGCCACCCAGCCTCCACCCTGGATGGGAGAGCTCGTCCCGGGGCTCTTGCCAGGAGAGCGCCCGGTCACCCTCCCTCGCCACCCAGCTCCGTGGACGCGACCCGCTCGGCGCCGCGGGCCGAACCTGCGCCAGGCGCACGCTGGAGTTGGGCTCGTGGAACAACAGCGGGCGCCTCTCCGCCCGCCGGGCGGGGCGTGCGCGGGCAGAGGCTCCACTCGGGACGAGGGCTCGTGGGTGCCCTGAGCCGGGAGGGGCTGACAGCCTGGGGAGTCCCGGGTGGCCGGGGAGGGGGGGTCCAGGAGCCACGAGTCGGGCTACAGGTAGGGCCCCCCCACACACCGCAGGTAACGGGCCACCGTGCTCGCTGGGCTTCCCCGCACTCCTCCGCGCTGGGGCTCGACTGCAAACCCCGGTTTATCGCACCCTTTCCCACTGTGTTCATCAGTCCGAGAAATGGCGATCGTTAAAAGTTAACGCTAATCATAGCTATCCACACTTAAGTAATGATTTAACACACAAATCCAAACAAAATATAACTTGCGTGTGTTTGGGGGGGCCGACAGATCTTTATTCGGTGTAATATTTAACATGTGCTATTGTCGAAAAACGGGGGGAAGATCAAAAGTAGGATGAATAAATGTATAGTTAATACTAAGGATGATTCAAACACTCAAGCTGGCAGAATTTCAATGTGTAAAAACAGAAGTGTCAACATTGATGAGTAGCATACATGAATGAGGAAAACTGCTTCTACGCCCAGCTCCAAGCGATGGTTCCGCTGAAGGCAAGGTGTTTCTGGTCTTTAGACCGGAGCATACTTAACTTCCCCGAGTCACAATTGAGTTGCTCTTTCCAGGCTTTTCGAAGCATCTTTAAGTTTTCCCACCAAGTCCTACAAAATGCATATAAATGCAACGTTTCAGGGAAGAAGTACCCACGTTTTTTGAAAGATGCACGGAAAACGTCGGAGGCACTCCCTAAGCAAGTTTTAAATTCACGAGGTTTCCAACTTTTAACAAATAACTATCGCCAAATATTTTTAAAGACCTTTTCCCCTAAATATCTCATCTTCAAATTTGTTCTTTCAGATTGAAACAGGATTTCTAACCAAGTATTTCTGAACTAGAATTCCTAAGGTTTTCTAACAAAAGTGATGCTGTGCATATTTACTACAATTTTGATTGAGTCGCACTAAAATAACTGCAAGATATGCCTTGGAAAAATATTAATTTCACCAATACTTCAAATAACGATCATCATTTTTTTCCTGCTACTAAATAAATTGTCACATCCATTAATCAATGTACTTTTGAATTTCACTAGTCTTGGGTCGTCCATTTCAACAGCACCACAATTTTTAAGGATACTTCTCCCTTTATCAGAAGTTATTTGAAAGCAGTTTTAAATCCCATTTTGAAAGTTTAATTCCAATTCTGAAAGCAAAGAAGATGAATTTCATATATATGCTCTTGGTTTTGCTTTTTTCTGTTGGCTCATTCATCATGAATAGAAAGAACTTACAATTCAGAAGTTTACATTAATTGAAGGGGCAGTAAATAGATTAATTTTTTAATTAAGCCCTACAGTGAAGTCTATGTTCAAATATTGCTCTTGAAACCTCCCTTCCTGCTAAATCTTTTAACTCCTGTCTATCTCCACCATCTGCTGACTGGTAAGGCTACATTGTTTTTAACTTTCCAAAAGCATAATTCTCAACACCTATTTTGAAAAGCAGGTATACTCACAGATACTATCACTGTACCTGTAATTGTTCCATGTTGCAGCTGAAATTAATCTCAGGGTGGGATTCTGAATCAGTGTTCTAGGAAAGAAAATGCTGTTTATTGAACTCAAAAGACAGCTTTCAAGACATGGAATTTTTAGATAGGACATACAAATACCTCTATATGCAAGGTCACCAAATATGCAGGTCTGTACAGCTTATGAAGTTGATTGGTCTAAAACACAACATAATGCATATCAGTCTTTATTTTTTAAATAAAAGTTCTCCCTAAATCCCCCTAGAAAACAATTGGTTAGAATTTACCTTTATCTGGTATTCCAATCGCCAAGAAACATCAGTTATATGAGGAAGCGATCTGCCTAGACTACAAGATACAATGATGCTTTGTACATAATGGCTACAGAAAAACGTCCTCTATTTTATCTTTATTGAGAATGGCCTCTGAGTACCTCCCCATCTCCATACTTTCAATCCAATCTGAATCAAAACATTGTTAAACTTTATTTTAAAGTTAGGAATAGTAAAGAGCACTGAATTGTGTCAATAAACTTTATCTTTAAAGACATTAACTTTATTTCAATTGTTCCACTAACTCTTTGGCGTTTTTTTTCTTTTGGTCAATGCCCCAATTTTCCCGTTTAGTTTCACACCAGCACTCTCCATTCATATCTGCAAGTGAGAAGTGACTCAGCCTGACACCATATATGTGTATATATACATATATAGATCTCACCTACCTTCCCAGTAGGGTTTCTAGGGAATTCTTGTTATTCTGAAAAGAAAAAAAAAAGACAAGGAAACATAATTTTTGCAAAAAGAGTAGGAGGAAAATAGTAATTTTTAAAAACTCAAGTTACCTGGTATTCCGTACAAAACAGTTCTATTCGCTCTCTGTCAAATTTACACTCTTCTAGGTAAGTACTAGAGAGAAAGAGAAAACGTTTAATTTCCATTTTAAAAACTGGATTGCAACCTTGAAGGTACTATTTGAAAATAAATGGATACTTAAGTAACTGCTGTACCTTAGGGCTGATTTGTCAGCTCTCTGCTTTCCAGCTTCCAGTATCCAGGTGGCAGCTGCTGCCTGACAATGTTTTAATACTACTGGGTCGATATGTTTCAAGTCTGGGTGATCTAAAATAAATTAATTGCCATTGATGATAAAGTCTTCACAGTCATGTTTCTTAAAAGGACATCTTAATTAACGTGTGTGTGTGGGGGGGAACCTTTCACAAGGTAACAAAGAATCAACTGTAAATAACATTAGAAAGTCAAATGCAAAACACAAGAGCATCAATAAATATTTTCTGGTTTCAATGACATTCTGCTATGCTTTCCTATTTTAAATATATGTATTTTCATAATAGTTTCAAAGGAAAAAATAACAAGACAGTGCTCATTCTAACACTGGATTGAGTAAATTCAAAGGAAAAAAACCATGGTGTAAATTTTAGAATGAACGAACTTTTACTCTAACAAATTAAGTTTAGGGAAACCAGCGTCGTGGGCATTAATACCCTGAGAGAGGGCAGGGCACACGTTCATAATATGAAATACCATTTTCAAACTTGGAGCAGTATTTTCAGGTCTTGACAGTCATTCCTTTTTTTTTTTTTTTTTTTTTTTGACATTAACCCAGGTGGTGGTAACTATTTTTGTTCCACAACTTCCACTTTCATACTTTTGCACCAGTGCTTAGTTCAAGAACGTTCGGAAGGAAAACAAAACTTTGAATGCTGGCATATCTGTTTAAGAATATTGTCTAAAAGCGATCTGTTTTTAAAATATGTTTCCAATTCCTACTGACAATACACTCAGCAATCACTGACCGTCTCTTAAGAGAGACGTCCCCTCCAGTTTAACTGGTGCGGAACTAAGTATAATGGGTCCAACTTCAAGATTCTAGGCGTAGGACCTGGGGAAAACACACTGAACTGAACTGCTGGCGTGATCCTGGGAATTTGAGGTACCCATTAGGTTGGAAAAATGTCAACACGGTTTGACCTAGTAATTACTTAGGCAACAGACTCTTTTAAGCCTCTGCCGGCCCAGCCCTGGCAGCCTGAATTGCAGGGAGCTCCTCGGATGAAGTCCAAGTGTCAAAACAGCCGCTGCTCCGGACCAGGCTGAAATAGATGTTTAGGCCACAAACAAGACTTCCACGCGGGCTTTACAAAGGAACAAAGAGGCTGGGAGGCGAAATCGGGCCAGGAGCGGGTAGCCGGCTATATGCAGGTGCCAACTGGGACCGACACAATGCCCAGGGCTCGCTGTGGGGTCCTGGCAGCGCCCCGGCCTCACACTCCGTCCGGAGCGAAGGGCAGAGCCGGGAGGGAGACTTCCTCTTCCCGGGGCTTCCCCCTCTCTGGGCTGCGCTCCCCGGCTCCGAGCGCCCCTCCGCCCAGGCCGGTCCAGCTGCGCGCCCAGCCGCTTACCTAGCACGGCCTCGTCCGCCTGCGCGTCCAGCAGGCTCTGGAAAGCCGCCCGGAGCAGACGCGCGAAGGCGCCGGGGCCGAAGCAGCCGGGATCGGCCAGCATCTGCAAGCCCTGCTGCACATACTGCGAGAGCTCCATTGTGCGCGCGCCGTGACCTTCGACACGCGCACCACGTGACGCGCGCCGCGCGCCCAGCTGATGGGGCCGCGCGCGCACGTGGCCCGAGC